CGAACTTGGTCGTTATGGTCGCTTCTGGTTCATCGGTTCAACGTGGTTTCGTCCTGCGTCTGCAGCGTTTCTGGTCTGCATCCCTACGAACGTAATCTTCAGATCCTGGATACAAACCACTCTGGTGTAGCATGCCAACTCAAGCAACAAGTACAGCACATCGCTCCTGGTACCGTTCTCCGAAAACGACTTTCGTTGGCAACTCGACAATCAACGATCACTTTCCTGTTCGCCAATTCACCCGTCCTACAATCGCTCGTCAGCCGATCGGTCCCACGATTTAAACCGATATTTATCGAAAGTGTAAACCCTTTCTAGCGGGGGGCTCCTGTGGTGACTCACATTTATCACGAGAACACGACTGGTTTAATAAAAACAATTATTATTATAACCAACTGTGCCAGTGTTTGTTTTAATGTGCTTTTGTTTGACTATGCTAATGACAGCTATATTGTGCTTCCATTCTTATTCACACACTTCGATTGTAACTTCGCGCGAATTCAGTTACGTTCTGTAACCAAGCTTGTATCCTGGCACGATCTCTTTATCCTTTCGATACCACGAGATCGCCAGCAAATAAACCTTGACTTGGTCCATTAATTGCCTTCTGATATTTGGCTTCTCGGGGATTTTATGGAGTCATTTGGAACGAGCTTCTTGGTAGTGGTGTTCATAGTCAATCTCCGCTCGACGCCACGCTACAATGTTATGACGTCATGCACCGAGTAATCGTTGAATATATACTAATCGAATGATCAGGGGAACAGATTAGTGACTGTGGAGACGAGATACTCATAGTCGTATATTTTTTTGATCGTGGAGTGTATCGGGGTTAATGTCGTCGGAGAGAGATTTTCCTGACCTCGTTTATTGAGAAAACGTACTAAGGCATGTAGAAAGTACTAATCTTCATAGGACTGTGCATGATGGATGAATAAAACCGACTTGAATGTAACGAGCATGAATGTGGCCTTGAGAGACTGGCTCTAGACTCGGCGTTCTGAACAATATTCTGATAAGACGATACTATTTATGCATGCATGTCATTTCTGTACTGGCTTTGCTGTTTGCATCGGACTCAAGAGACTGAGTCATCTGAGTTGCTCACGTTGAGTTCGTTCAGAGTTTGAGACGTTCTTCGTCCACTTAATTTACAGGTTGTGTTAATATTGAATTAGATCTTAACAGTTTAGTAAGCTGTTGATTTGACTCCGAGTTGATTGAACGTATGAATATTTCATTAACATAAACCTTCCATTTGATTCCATATATTACACCTAGGCTAACGCTGTTTGTGCAACTATGATAATAAGAAGCCAGAAACGAGTTAAGTTGAACGAATTTATTTCGGGCACTCGTTTATTCAGACAGACATTAAGAATGAAAAGCGGAGGAATCAATCAAAGCTTAGAAGGAAAGTATGTCGAGTGATTAACTAACAAGGTCAAGGTGTGACTCATGGAAAATAAGTTGGTCTGTAATGAAACTAGAATAACCTGTAAGGACTTGATATAGTATTGGACATCACAACATCCAGTTTTGTGTCTTTTACTCGTATGGATAGATTGGTTTATCCTTGCAAGTGTATGGTTTAGTTCGGTGAGACAGTGTAGTTATATTACTATCAGTCCACGAGTGATTATCATCACTTGTATTTTCGCTGTTTTAGTTTAGAATTTTGGAATTTTCGCTCCGGAAATTTAAAAGCGGAAGTTTTGTTGCATAATTGTTATATTTGTCACAATATATTTGGGTTGATTACTTGTAATCTACGAACAACTTTTGGTACCTTAACCAGTATTCGGTTTCGTTGTCATTTGAGTCGTAACCTACTATTGGATCAGTCAACCATGCTTCAACAACAGAATAGGAAAAATTTGAACACAGTGACGATTCTCAACCTTAGTAAAGTGGTTTGAGATTTGTCAAAGAGTACTGAAATGTAGTTACACACGTCCCAAATAAACGCTAAGACGTAATGGAAGTAATGAAACACGAAGGAGAGGATAGCGATAATATCAAGTAGAACATTGTAGGGGATCCTTTATGATAGGTGGGGTCCGAGACTTGATACTTGTGCACAACGTGCTATGCGCTAACCCCAGAACTGGCCTCGTGACCAAGAAGACAAGACTGGAAGAGAAAGTGTATTGAGCTACCGAATATTACAGAGAAATATCCACTGACATATATACGTTTCTAGCTTTAAAAAATGAATTCATTTGCTGGACGATGGCATGCAATTGTCTTTCTTGTCATTTGTGCTCGTCTTCAGTGCTTTTCTCACTTGATTACTTCTAACTGACCCACTATATCACGACTTCCTCCTGAAAAATTTCGTGCACCTCGAATCTAACTGAAGGCATTTAGGGAGCTGCCATTTTCTCGGGATCTCGCTGTCGCTTCTGCGCTCTTATTGGTTTGAACCAACTATAACAACTGAGTAATCTGAAGGCAAGTTCAAATGAGAGGTTCCTTATCCGACATCAGTCGTCTATCACGGACGTGGTTTACGTCTCATGTCAGCCATTTCCCTCTAAGATCGTCTCTGTAGACCACGTTACCTACTCTTCATACGATGACCGCTACCAAAACAAACCTCTGCTCTCGAGTGTTTGTTACATACGGTGGCAACCCTTTAGTAACTGATGTTTAGATCTCTCCTTGGGCTTATAATCTCATTTTCCCCTCTGTTGATACACGCTGTCGGATAAAGTCTGAGCACTGATTTAACTGGAGTGACATACTTAAGTGATGCTGGGTTCAGGGTTATTCTGTATATTCATATGAATTTCTGAATGACCTTTTACCTTTTAGCTTGATGAGAAATTGTTTGAAATTATCGACAAACCCTCAGCATGACCTTTTAAATGGGGATGGTAGCGCAGTGACCGAATGTACCTATTTTTGTACTTACAACAAAAGTTCGAAAATATTTTCTTCGTGACCTAAGGTCCATTGTCCGTAACTAATATTTTCGGTGAACCAAATCGTCGGAAATGCCTATTCAGCACCGCTGTTGTTGAACATGAGGTCTGAAGCACTAAATGAATCTCTGGCCATTCTGTAGACGAGTCGATTATGATGAGAAAGTGTTGACAATTTACTGGCCAAAAGGAATCAGCATGAACACGAGACCATGACCTTCCTGCATGTGATCATGGGAACATCTGTATTTTTAGTGGTAGTTTTGCAGCTTAAGCACATTGTTGTTATTTCTTTATCATGCTTTCAATGTCTTTATCCATTAGTGGCCAATATACATATCTGTGTGCTAATGAATTCAAAAGCCTCACTCCACGGTTACCTGAAAGTAGTTGTCTTAGTATTCGGGATCTGGGGGTTGTTAGAACAAGTTGTAGGAGATCATCTGGAGTGGGAAGTGGAAACTGATGTGTTACCAGGGGATAATTTACTTCAGTTGAAAAATCAGCACATGTTCCAATTGAATCATAACATTTTCTGCCACCATAATTGATGCTGTCCATGAAGAATAATTATTTAGTTCAAGAACACTCAAAGCTTCCAATATGTCCAGTCTTTTGTCTGACAAATAGTGTACTGCATAGAGAACTAAGTATATGAAACGAAATCATCATAAAGTCTTCCGTCAATTTTATGATAATTATATCGCCGGATGAACAAAGAAATGAGAAGTAAAATTTCCTGTTGACTTTTGAGGGCGGACAGGCAGATAAGAAACAAGCGTTATGATCACCGGGCTTGTTCTTGTAGTTGTTGCACACCTCTCTCTCGTTTTTTCCCTTTTCGATCCACCTGCTTTCATTAGTTATCATAAACATTGAGAAGATAAGATTCTTTCACATCATTTTTTGGGCATACATGAAATACTTGAGACTAAATCGGAAACTGCGTCACAACACGACAAACCTTGGACCCTGCAGCCCAGTAGTTTAGGGGGTCATGTGGTACCCTCTTAATCGAATGAAATTGCTGTTGATCAAAATATTTAATCCCTTCTATAAACCAGTCTGACAGAATCGTTGTGCTGTTCTAGTCTGTAAAAATTAGACCATTGCATTATATAAATGTCTCTATGCAGGAACATATGAGTACATATGGTTAAATGTGTCAACCTATGTATTTATTTAACATACTTGCTTGGATTTTACTTACTTGAAAAGCTCAACGTCGCGCTCACATGCTTTTTATGGCTTGTTAACAACATTCATTAACTCGTCTCTCGCAGTGTGTGCATGGTTTGAGATAGTCAGTTACCACGGCTTTGTTTAGCATTCTAGAAGTTTTAAACCGCTGAGAACTATAGTAATAACGACTGTCAAGTCAGTGAATGTAAGAAATATCTCGTTAATTTTGAAGCTTTCCACAGTGTGCATTCACTCGTTCACTAACTTGAAGGAACTAACAATCCTGTCAGCTAGAAGTAGTTCAAATAAGTGGTTGCAACAGTCCAATCAGCTACTAATGATTACACGAAAGGCCCCATTAATTTCAATCGATGTGTACTAGAATGCAAATAATTAGTGCATTCGAATGTTTATTTGGAAAGTTACTGACATATTGAAAAGCATCTGATCTAACTTGGGATGCGTAACACACAGTACTCACTCGGGATCTAGTGCTAATCTCTGGCCAAACACATTCAGTTAGGGTGTACAACGAAAACTAATGACATCAGGATCAGTGTTGAGGACGTATGGAACTATTTATTTTGGGAATTTATTTACCGTTACACTGGTATTAGAACTGATCTTCGTGTCAAAGTTTAAACACTATAGACTTTACGCTGAACGATATTTTCATGCAATATTTTACAAATGTTCACAGTATCAGTTCTACATACAACTTCTAGCTCGTTTTAATATATGAAGTCATGTATTTTGAGAGTAAGATATTGAAACCTTCAATTTACGACCAACAAAGAAGTGGGTTTTTTTAGTATTTCTCCACATTAGGATCTATATGTCATATTAGAAGTCGTTGCAACTTATTAGTCACACTTAAGCTTCGGTTTCAACATGTCTGGGCAGGGAGATCGTTTTAACATATTTCCATCTCGGATGTTAGTTTTTTTTGTTTGCACGACACTGTTTTCTCTCCCTATAATCAAATAGGGCGCAAACAGCCATGAAAGGAAGACTTAAAGGTGCTCAGAAAGGTCATAGACTGCTAAAACGTAAGGCAGATGCTTTGACCGTTCGTTTCCGTAGCATATTGAAGCAAATAATTCAGGTAATTCATCAATTGTTTGCTAAAAGGTATAGGCGAAACAAGCAATGGGCGAAGTTATGAAAGAGGCTAATTTCTCACTTGCTAGTGTTAAGTTCACAACAGCAGCAAATATTAACAGCCTAGTACTTCAAAACGTTACTAAGGCTCAGAGAAAAGTCAAAACAGATAAAGAAAATGTTGCAGGTTGGAACATTAAAAACCACTTTACTTTCCAGGTGTGCAGTTGCCGGTTTTCAAAGTCGTTGTGGAGGGATCTGACAGTAAGTCTGAACTTTGTGCGAAATTGCGTAAATCTTTGTACTGATAAACTGGGTCTTGCAATCTCAAAATTTGTGGTTTTGACACCATTGTATATCAATGTTCCACAATACTGAGTTGATATTATCACACACATTGATTAGTTTTAACGTAATTGTACAAGCTTGTACGTACATTTGTAAGTATATTGTGTCCCATGATGGCTTGAATGCTTAGGTTTCTATGAACATGTTAAGATAGTGGATAGTAGTCTAGTCTTAGTAATTAAATTGATTGGGATCTTAGCTGGTATCTGGAACTGCACGTAATACCACCTAACTTGTCTCAACTCCTGACCTCCACGTTTCATAAAAAAGGACAATAATCCTCTTATGATGACCATATATGACCAATATATCTAAAATTTTAGCTTCGGCAGCCATCAAACTTTTAACTAGGACTCGTAAAGAGCGAAACCGGAAAAGCGAGCTTGGTTTCTAAATTGGACATGGATGTGCCACAAATGTTTCCTGTGATTGGACACCGCGAAATTTTCGATTATGAAAACCAATGAATAGAATGCTAGTCGATAGATAAACACACATAATATTGTATGGACGAGTGATGAATGTATGATTGATTTGAGCCGTTAAACGATTAGAAAAACCAAGATAAGACCGCTAACCAAATGAAAAGTTTTTCATGCAATAAAATAATATGTTCGTCTGAAGTATATGAGCATAATAAAAAAATCTGGGAGTTTGGAGAAAATTAGTTTCCAGGTCAGTCATTCCCCTAATCAATTAAGATCTGACTGGTAGCCCTAATCTTTGGACATAGTATCAGTATGTCGACCAAATATTAATCCTTCCGTACGCTACAAAACATGGACATACTTCATGAAGTCAAACTGTAATTATATATTCTTTGACATTAAAATATCGTTGGACTGTTGATTTAGAGGTTCTGCGACAGTGTTTGCTACCGAAAGGTACACTAAAGTATATCAACGTTGTACAGCGTCTCTACTCAAACATTTCCGGTCAAGTTAAGGCTCATGGCAAACTTTCATAAGAAGTGCCAACTACACATGGTGTTCTTCAGTTACCGAGTTCATTTTCATTGAACTTCGTCATAGATATTCTTTCAGAGATAATTCTTTTGTACTATAACTTCAGAAATTGATCTATTTGATTTGTTCGCTGACTTACAATACATAGGTGAAATTGTTCTGTTTGATAAAAATGCTAAAGAAATGCGATCTTTTAACCACCCTAATAAACAATGAATTTCTATTTACTTAAATGCAAATTTCGCTTCATGACTAATTTGCCTCATTGCCTAAACTAATGATAGGGAGTGAAGCAACTGAGTTTATTAATCCACTTCACATATCCTTAAATTCTCGCTAACCCTGGTGTCTGATGAAACCTCGATACTGATTCAGACTTTTACTAACTTGTGTTACTGGTGACGTAGGCGATGTATAAGTCTGCCAATCAAAGGACAAGTATACTGCGCAGCAGTTCTCTCTGTTCTGGTTTGTGGATATGAAACAGCCATTGAGAACACGGGATACTTGTTGACTACTGTTGTTTGGTCATTGATTCATTCAAGCATCAGAATATAATGTAGGTTTAACCAAGGTTTCATCACAAAGACTATAGGTTATAAATCTATCTATACCTCAAATAGTCTGAAAACAGTATTGTCTTAGTCCGCTTTTGTCAAAACAGTCATATGATGGTATATTTTACTTATCCTTTGGCGTGAACAGTTTACTTAAATTAGGTTTAACCGTAGTGTTTTTTGTTGTTGAGAAATCTAAATATTTTATATCAAATACGTTTGATATGTAGTGCTTATTTACTAATTTGTTTTTTTTTTCACTGTCCTGTAGCATACGAACTGACAGGTTTATCTGGTGGTGGTCAACAAATCGACCGACTAAAAAAGAACTACAGCAAAGCTGTTGATTTATTAGTTGACTTAGCATCTCTTCAAACGTCTTTCATTACTCTAGACGATATCATAAAAGCAACTAATCGTCGAGTGAATGCTATTGAATTTGGTAAACACATTTTACTCGTCAGATTTTCCTATATTTGAGTCATTTGTTACACATTGATGTTTCGTCGTAAAATTACTTTTCGAGGTGTAGTTGAACGGTTTATTTATCGTTTAACTAAAAACAAGGATCGATATATTAATCGGTAAAATGAGTCTACATCATTTTAATCACAAAAACATAAAAAAATTGTAGTATATTAGTAGCGGTCGGGAAGACGGAGAGTGCTACACGGACGATACATTAGAAAGCGTCTATTATTCTTTGCTTTTCGTCCTCTCCGCTTTTTATTTAGAGGTTGAGGAATTCTCAGGATTAGTAATTGCTTTTGGCGCATTAGTTGTTTCTGAGCTGTCAGCAAAGTGTTCAGTTTGTGTGTACTTGATGTGTTACATTTAAAACAATTACAAACCACCTGATAATCAGTCAGTTGGGTAGAACCATTTTTATTAAGGATAGAGCAACATTATACACACCTATTTGTTTTGTATCTCATCTTTTACATTCCAGCGTACACTGTAAGAACTCTTAGTCAGCATGTACTGATTATTCTTCTACTGTAACCTACGTTTGACAGTGTAACTTTTATTTCTGTGAAAAGTATCGTATATTAAACTATATATATACTGGGTGTAGATTACTGACTAGAATCAACTTAATGACCCAAAGATCAAAAATAAGTGTTTAAAAACATGGCAAAACATTTTTTACCAGAATAGCAATTACGTACTAACTATTTAGCGCAAAGTCGTACACAATCAAATTGCGAATTTCGAAATATTCTTCAAGTTTCTTTCAGTTGCATCTTGAAATCCACATCTCAGCTTCTGTAGGCAGCAGACATTAACATTGAGAAGTCTGAAATACTTGTTAGTAGTCCCCATATTTCTTCGGTTTTTAGCTCTGAATATATTAAGTTCCTTGAGGTATTTTGTTATGAACAATCAGTTTGTCTTCGTTAACATGGAACTAACATCCTGCCTAGATTTAGTAGATTGTGTGTTATCGTTTAGATCTTATGCAATTGAATGATTCATCAAAAACCTGAGTTTTAACAGAAAAACTTGATAATTGCTCATACTTTCGGTAATTCTTTGTAATATTGATCACTACTCTATCATATTACGATCACTATATATTTTGTTGCATGTATTTTTCGCTAAAATGTATGTAGTTATGGAATTAATTCAATACCTTCCCTTATATTTAGTATTTTGACATCTATTTTAGTTATCATACCGAAAATTGAACGTACACTGAACTATATCACACAAGAACTGGATGAACGCGAAAGAGAAGAATTCTATAGGTGAGCTTCATCAGACCTATCATTATAGTTCATATTTGAATTACATATTTTGAACTTTGTGTTGTACTTATGTGTTTGTTGATGCTTGTTTAAGGTTTTAAGTTGTTGAGGAATATGTAAGCTGAGTAGATAAGTTTGTTAACCCAGAATAATCATCCTGATATATCTTCTATTTCTCAATAGTTGTGTTTTACTTGTTTGATATATTTTGTATGCAAAATTGTGAATTTCACTGTTACATATCCTACTTTGAAAGAGAGACGGTATAAACTCACAAATATGCACACAACGTAATGAAACAGAAAGAGGGTATAAGTAAGCAAGATGCTGACTTAAACTATCGAAGTCTATGGAGAAATAAATGAAATAATGCTAAATTTAAAGGTTAATTTTGAAAAAAATGATGAATGGATATTGGCTGTTATAATCGATTTCGAGCATTGTACATACCGTCGTGAATGATCATCTACTCAATTTAGTTGGATAGGATTATCACATATTGATACATGTGTTTGAGCAGTGGTAAAAACACTTCTCTTTTAACAGTTAGCAAGTTCAAACTCCTATCAACCTTCTTCAGTTCGAGTCACAGTATACAATCGATGACTGTCACACCACATCATGGCTCTAAGTTGAATAAATTAGACATTTATTTTCTTATGTTAATGATGCTCAATTCAATAGTGTAATCCTAAAGTGTCAGCTAGACATACATCAACAAATTTGATTGATTGCAATTACGATAATCTATACAAGCTTAACTTATTTCAACCTGGATCTTCTACTCTGTATCAGGAAAAAAACCATATATTCACAAAAAAGTAGCATTGTGTTGTAAACGTAAAATCATAATTTAGTCAGCCAATAGGAACGTAGAACTTCGTACGTACTTACATCAGTTCGAGTTGCCATACCATATTAGCACAGAGATACAATTGTCTATTCAAATATCATAGTGGTAGAGGTAGTAAAAGTATAAGCAGTAATCGGAAATATTAGGGTTTGAAGATGTTATTCAAGGAGTATAATACAGTGAAATAAATTTGGAAGGAAAATAAGGGATATGAAGATTTCAGAAGATTAGAATTTGGGAGAACACAAAGAGTGGATGCACCTGCGCCATCGCAAACGATTTTGATCCATGTCATTCAGGGTCTCTAACCATCGGTTGTTATCATCTCGCAGTCACCAACCAGGTAGTCTACACCTACCAACATGGCTCAGTTCACTTGTCAGTGACTCCATGGACTTGTGCCATGTTTTGGTCTGGCCGCCCCTAGTTTTCTCCCAATCTACTCCTATACAACAAGACATCGCATGTCGAGGCAGTCGGTGGTTGGACATACGTAACACATGTCCCAGCCATCCCAACTGAGGAAGTTTCACTACGTCATCAATTGATTTGCCATCCTTACCTAGTACCCGTTTCCTAACAACTGCGTTACTTACTCGATGGTCCCAGGATATACGAGCAATGTTTCGAAGACACCTATGATCAAATACTAGTAACGTACGAATACCCTCCACTCTTACCGGTCACGTTTCACTGCCATAAACTAGGACAAAACGAGCTGTTACGCAGTAAACACGTCCTTTGTTTGATAGATGGATATCTCGCCTACGCCATAAATGACGCTAGTTGGCAAAAGCTAGTCGAGCCTTCTGTATCCGTGCTGAGATTTCGTCACACACCAGACCACAAGGGCTGATGAGACTTCCAAGATAAGTGAAGTGATCGACACGCTAAATTACTTCACTCCCTATCATTAGTTCGGGTGTCGATGCAACAAAATCCTGAAGCAACATTTTGCATTTCGAGGGGGAGAATCGCATGCCGAACATGTTTGCATTGTTGCTTAGAGTGGTCAGAAGACTGGATTTTGTCAGCGTCTTCACCAAATACAACTATATCGGCATATTCTAGGTCAGAAAGTGAATCTTCTGGTAGAAGTTCAACTCCTAGAAATTCAGATGAGGAAAATGTTATCTCTAATAGTACGTCAATGACAAAGTTAAACAAGAATGGAGAGAGTGGGCAGCCCTGACGAACACTACTTGAGGTAATCAATTCTGATGACAGTTCACCATAAGCTCTCACTCAACCAGTTGTGTTCGAGTAGAGAGCCTTCACAAGGTCATCGTACTTCTTTGGTACTCCTTTCAGTGGTAAACACTGCCACAGAACCTCACGATCAACAGAGTCGAATTCCGACTTAAGGTCGAGAAATACTACGATTGTGGGGCGTCTGAATGTGTGTCTGTGTTCTAGAACCTGACGTAGTGTGAATATCTGGTCTATAAAACCACATCCAGGTCGAAAACCAGCCTGGTTTTCTCTAGTCTGTTCTTCACGAGCTTTGACTAGGCGTCGAAGTATTATTGAAGCTAATATTTTAGACACTATATTAGTCAGACTGATTCCTCTGTGATTGTCACAAGAGGACTTTTGTCTTTTCTTATGGACTGGCACAATCAAAAGTACTTAAAGCGATTGTATGTGATATAAAAAACGTTTAAATCCAGCCATACATAGTCCGTTAAAGTTGTTCATTGACTGAAATAAGGCTTGTCTATATTACTAAACCTAGTAATAGTTAAAAAGTTAGATATATTAAGTCATCTAAATGTTACGTTTTTCTCGTCGATATCTTTGATACTGGCCGACTTTTCCCAAACCCTCTTTATTTTACTAAACAGTAAATTTACTTTTTTCTTCCTAACTTAAGTCATTGTTCTCGCACTAAATGCTCCTAAAGAACTCCGAATTTCATTCCTTATGAGTAGTAAAACGAGTCTTGGTTTGCACAACAGATTCATGTAAAAATTCCGATACGATTAGACTATTTAACCATATTTTCATTATTACTAGTAGGCAAATGATTAGAAAACATTTTGAGCACTAAAGGAACCAGTCTGTTATTTTCAGCAATTATTAATTAACAATAAAATGGTCCCTAAGAATCTGTTCATGGTGATTATACTGAATACATTGTGGTTGTTAGTTATACAAATCAATATGTAACTGAAAATTGCATGTAAATAGAGAATGTAGAAAAATTGTTGTGGAGAATGTAAAACACTAAGGCAATATTTGTCACAGTGATAATGATATTTCCTTTTACAGTGTCTTCCTGAATTAACATTGTTTCATTAGTTTCCATTACACTTCATTTGTATGTTTAAAATTGATCACTTGAGCATATTCGTTTACCTTTTATTCAATGAGGTGAATGTATTTTTTTTTTTAATTCACACGTGTGTTGCATACTAGATTGAAAAAAGTTCAAGAGAAGAAAAAACGTAATCGTGCCCTTAAAGAATTAGAATTGAAATCTAAAGGATTTGAACTAGCCTCAGCTGACCATGCTCCGAATATTTTAAACGAAGATGAAAATGAAGGACAAATTCTTTTTTAATTTATGTAACATCTTTTGTTACATTATTGAAGCCGACATGTTATATATATATATATATATATATATATATATATATATATATATATATATATATATATATATATATATATATATATATATATATATATATAATATTTACAATCGGTCGATTCCGACTAAATATTGCATAATATAATCTGTATACTTTAAGAAGTAGCTAACTTCTCATCGTATGCATCTACATATGTTTTCTCTTGAATTAGTTGTATTAACATATTACTTTATTGTTTAAAATTTTGATAATTTATGATGAATATAATTTGGTTTGTTTCAAGCAATAGCAATTTTTGAGTGAACAGTGACGTAATCAAATAAACACTTAATTAATGTTTTGTTTTTTTCATAAGTGGGGTATTCTACTACAATTTCAAGTACTTTCCTGCCAGGAGTTATGTACATGTAAGCCTCTTATATACTAATGCATTGAATGGGACATTGCTGTTAGGCCTTTAACTAATAGCAAAATTCCGTAATTACCTTTATGTCAGGCCAGTCGACAAGTCAAGGCGAGATCATTTCTAACGGAAATGTTAAGTAAGAAGTAACTACATATTGTTGATTTACTTCTTGGTCTTTACGCATTGTGTTCGCAGTCCACCTGTACGAAGTTCCAAGTATCCATCATTTTGGGAGAAACTGGAAATTCACTGTTATCGATTAAATTTTTTTAAAAGCTTACTATTAGTCGTTAATTCTGGTTTCACAACAAAATTAACAGCGTACCATACTGTTTAGTGATGAATATCATATTCAAGCTCAAAATAAAAATGTTAGTATAAGACCATGATCGGAATTCAGATATGAGCTCCAGAAGTAGTCGTAGTCTTTCCCGATCTGTTCCAATGACATTTAGTGAGAACATCGTGTTGACCAATAATTGATGGTAATAGTCTCTGGATCCAATGTTATCTTTAATTCTATAGTTCATAGACGCGAAATTAATTATATTTGACCGCATATTTACAGCACTAATTACTTTGATTAAGTGAGATTGTATAAGTGCCAACTAGTTGTCTTCATGTAGATGTTAACTGGACAGTTGTTACACCCTAAATTGGGACTTCGTAGTGCGCACCACACCTTGGATCGAACCAAAGTTCTTTAGATCTGCTACTGGTCTGGATTACAATATACATTCCCAATTTTGATAAGCCCGTTAAGAATTTAGAGCTATTAGTGACTACTGTTTCACTGTACTGTATGGTTGGACTCGGCCTGTCTCTACTTACCAATAAAACTTCAGGAACTTATCTGTAAGTGAATAATTAGTAGGCTCAATATTGTATTTATCACGTGGGAGTTTAGTGAGTATTTATCTAGTCGAAGTTTAGCTTCTCCATAAGGCTTGGAAGTACTGGTTTTGATACCTGGCGAGGTCTTTTGCAATGGCTTCTTAGGATAAGACACCCTATTAGGTAGTGGAAATTTAGTACTTCTACAATTGCACTTCCGAATTCAACTCAAGTTTAAAACCCTGAGTGATGCTCATTGTCGATGGATTTTCGTACATCTTATTTTTACATCGGGAACGCAGGATCATTCGTTTATCCACAAACTACCCTTATATTGTACTTTCGAAATAACTGCTTGCTGTAGTTTGTCGGTAATGATTTCTAAATTGTCAAGTTTAAGTAAAATCCTACTGTTTTATGAAAAACTGGACTGTATATGAGAGTGGTTTCTGTTTGGTTAGCTAAATAGAATTAGATCTTTTACCTCTTTCAAATCATACTTAGATTTTCTCGTGAAGGCATGCTTATAATTAAGGTAGTAACCGATTATTGATTTCAAACGCTTTGCCTTCAGTCGTTTAAATCTCACTCTGTAAACCTCTGTTTGGTCAGGTTGGCATTATCAACGAGGCTCATACAATTCATTGTTCAATGCTGAGTGTACAAAGTTGTACTTGCCACAGTAATGACATCCAAAAAGAGTATACAACACTTCCTACTGAGTTTTAAATTAATTTTTTGTTTGGTAATATATCACATGTCATAAACCATGCAGTGTGATTTAAACTACAAACTCATCTTCATTTTCAAGAAATTACGAATGGACAAAGTTATAGCAGTTAGAAAATCTTAAAATTCATAAAAATGTGTTTGATTTACCGTGATCAATGCTACTGTTTTTTATGACGATTTTGGTGAATTCATACGATAGCAGATAAGAGGCTTATAACGTTTTTGTTTTCCAATAATTCATCCGAGCAAAACAAATGCTTATCATTAATTGACAGGTTAATATCCCAAGAATGTATTTGTATGCAGGTAAAAGTCAATAAGATTACTATAAGTAAGCTCATTAATGATATAACGTGGTACAACCAGTGTAAAATATACTCACCTTGTTTCAGTTCACTAACATTAGAGAATTGATATCAAGTGTTAAATATCAATCCAGCTAAACAATCATTACATAAAGATTTATTAACATTCATTAACATAAAATTAATCTGTCAAAAAGAAATGAAATGTCAAATTACAATTAATCAGCATTAACAATAAACAATTTTGATTTATCAAAGTATATCAATGATTTTCTGTCATTTTTAAACCACATAAGAAGCTGTGCATTAATCATATATAATCATTGGCTATAAGAAAGAGCTACATGTAAATGATTGCATAGTTACTTGTATTTTTCAATATTCAATGAATGTCAAATTTTCATATTGTTTTGTTTTTCTTTCAGATTTATTAATAAGTTGATTAATTAATTGTTAATTAAACTTACTAAAAGATTAAACAAGTAGATATGCTTCCATGTTTATGATGATAAGATACTAAAGAAAAATTTGTAAAGCTTCTATTGTTTATAGTTTGAAGTTGAAATTGTTAAAAATTACAATTATGATTAAACTTTAGAAGTATTAGTATAGTAGATAGTTTTGTATAAACTTTGAAAAGTAAACTAATGTTGACAGTCTGTTTTACAATGATCTATTTTTATGACGGATGTATCATTGAGTTTTAAAAACGATATAAAATTAATACTGTGCTTGAGATGAGTAAAAATAAATTAGAGTAAATATTAACAATATTGTAAGTGAACTAAGGATATGTATGCTGATGGTATCCAGCCAATGAATGTTGAGTATCTTGCGAAGACAACTATTTATATATATTTGTACCTTCTTGATGGTTGTTGTTGTAGTTCTCCAAGTTTCAGCTCCATACAGTAGAACTGCCTTGACGTTGGTATTGAAGATTCTCACTGTGATATTGGTTGAAAGATGTTTTGAGTTCCATATGTTCTTCAACTGTAGGAATGCTGTCCTTGCTTTGCCAATCCTTGCCTTTACGTCTGAATCTGAACCTCCTTGTTCATCGATGTTGCTTCCCAGGTATATGAAGGACTCGACATCTTCCAGAGTTTCGCTATCAAGAGTTATTGGATTGCTGTTCTCCGTTTTGAATTTGAGGACCTTGGTTTTCCCCTCGTGTATGTTCAGGCGTACTGATGCAGAGACTGCTGCTACACTGGCTATCTTTATCTGCATTTGTTCGTGTGTATGCGATAGGAGGGCTAGGTCATCTGTGAAGTCCAAATCGTCTAATTGATTTTGAGCTGTCCATTGTATTCCGTGTTTTCCTTCAGATGTCGAGGTCCTCATAATCCAGTCGACCACCAGAAGAAAGAGGCAGGGAGAGAGTAGACAGCCTTGTCTGACTTCGGTCCATACTTGGAATGCGTCTGTTAGCTGTCCTCTATACACGACTTTGTATCGTAGTCTGTCGTATGAGTTCCGAATAATGTTGACAATCTTCTCAGGAACTCTATAGTGTCGAAGGAGTTTCCATAATATTCTCCTATTTACACTGTCAAACGCCTTCTCATAGTCAATGAAGTTGATGTACAGTGACGAGTTCCACTCAACTGATTGTTCGACGATGATCCGTAGTGTAGCAATTCGGTCTGTTCACGACTGGTCCTTACGGAATCCAGCCTGATGATCTCGAAGTTGCATCCTTCATCCTGTTCAGCAACACTCTGTTGAAGACCTTCCCTGTTATTGACAGTAGTGTAATGCCCCTGTAGTTTTCACATTTGCTCAAATCTCTTGTCTTTGGAATCTTGACGAGGTGCCCTTCTTTTCAGTCCATCGGCACTTGTTCCTCCTCCCAAATCTTCTTGAGTAGAAGGTGAAGCATGTTTGTAGTTACTTCGATGTCTGACTTCAGTGCTTCAGCTGGTATATTGTCGGATCCTGCTGCTTTCCCGCTCTTGATTTGTCTGATGGCCATTCTGATTTCTTCCGTCGTTGGTGGATTGACATCTATAGGAAGATCTGTGTGTGGTGCTTCGATGTCCTGTGGATTCATTGGAGCCGGCCTATTCAGGAGTTCTTCGACGTATTCTACCCATCTGTTCCGCTGTTGTTAGATTTCGCTGATTAGCCTGCCTTCTTTGTCCTTGACAGGTTTCTCTGGTTTACTATATCTCCCTGCTAGTTTCTTCGTTGTATCATAAATATTTTTCATATTTCCTTCTCTTACAGTTTTTCCGCCGTCGTTGCTAGTTCTTCCACGTATTTCTGCTTGTCATCTCTAATGATCCTCTTCACTTCCTTGTTTGCTTCTATGTACTCAGCTTGTGCTTGGACTTTCTCTGCTTGTGTTCGACTGTTGTTAATTGCTGCCTTCTTGTTCTTCCTTTCTTTGATCTTGTCCAGTGTTTCTATGGAGATCCATTCCTTATGATGGTGCTTCTTTAGACCCAGAACCTCTTCGCACATTGAAGTCAATGCTTCATTGATACCTTTCCAGTTGTCCTCCATAGTAGTTTCTTCTTCACTCAGTAGATTTTGTAAGGCTTGGAACCTGTTGTTGAGAGCTATTTTGAATTCATTGAATCTGTCAGTATCTCGAAGGAAGGCTGTATTGAACCTTTGTATTGCTGTTTGTCCAGTTGTCCAATTCTTCTTTAGCTTCAGTTTTAAAATGGCTACAACTAGGTGGTGATCTGAAGCTATGTCAGCTGCTCTCCTGGTTCTTA